AAACCGGTACTTTTGAAACGGTGCCGGTGCTTAAACGGTGCTCAAACCGGTGCTTAAAGAATGGAGAACACAAACTTTGCCCAAAAACTTCTCATGTTTAGCTGTTTTTTTTGTAAAAAGATAACAATGTTAGCCTTTTCTGCAGCTATGGGGCATATATGACATCACTCTTGGCTGGAAGCAGTACTTAAACAATGGAAAAACACAAACTTTGTCCAAAAACATCTCATGTTTAACGGTCATTTTGGTCATGATCAACTCTGGGCTGGACCAATTACAACACATCCGTATTGAGGGGAAAAGGAACGTGATTAGTCCCGGACTTCAGCTACAATGAAAAAGACACAAAGCTGGAGTTATTCTGTGTCTTTGCTGCACAGCTGCCTCTTCTTCTCTCATTCTCTCCCCTCCCTCTCCTGTTTGTCCTTCAATTATGAAACTGATCAATGATCAGCTGATCGTCTCTCTTGTTTGTTTATCGCCCACTTTGCGCCAGAAACAGGAAACCAGCTGATGTCGCGCTAAACAACAGCAGCACGTTTAAGCTTGATCAGCTGTTGTTAGAATTTATTTAATATTAATTTCTAGCATCAGCTGATGTTTGCTGGAGCCACAGCTGTAAAGCTGTTGGTCATGATGGTTTGGATATGTGGTGAGAGGGAAACATGAAAGTGAAACAAATCATACATATACACCAACAAGACAGTGTACATCACATGAAAACAGTGTTTGTTTTAGTTCAAAGGCTTTATGGTTTTTCCTGTAATACCTGGTGGTGTAGTCTGTGATTTTTTTGTCAGTTCAGTTCAGTATTTATTATGTTTAACCCGAGTGACCCAGTCAGCTGGTGGGTAACAGGCATCTCCGAAAACGTTAGAGCAGTTATGCAAATATGTGATGTCTTGATGAATCAAGCAGATATTTGAAGTTTACACAGCACCATTCTCGCATGAAAATATCTTAAAAGTTTATTTTGTGACCCAGACAGAGTAATAATTCAAACTCCACCCCTCTGTGTTCCTCCGCCACTGCCTCGTTTGAGTTTTGGACAAATGCATTCTGGGATATTGCATTTCGAGCTGATTGGAGACCAAAACAGCCAATCAGATTTTTTTTTTTGTGTGTGTGTGTGTGGATAATAGCAAACACTGAAATACATTTCTTGCACGCAGCAATAAATTTTGTTCACTCAAATTCAGCTTTTCTTCATTCAAAATAATTTTCTCCCCAAAATAAAACACTTGCACCTGCAATTTTTGTTTTTACGTGCGCTCAGAATAGTGGCACAAAAATAACGCCATAGAGGGGGAGCTCAGTGTGAGAGATTTATTTCTTTAAACTCATTTATAATTTTATTGTAATTTAACAGCAAGGACACAGCTGTCAAATAGGCTGATGATGTCATAAATGTGCCCTCATTAGCACTTTCCCAGTTGATCTGTGACCCACTGGTTTCTATTTTTTAATAAATTTGACACATTTATTTGGATTATTTGTCATAATTTGTCTTATAGAGTTAGGAAACAATGTATAAATCAAAACTGATGTTACCTTACTGTAAAATATTGATCCCAATGTTATTTTTTGAATAAGTAAGGAACATTTATTTATATAGCACATTTCACAGATAAAAATCACAAAGTGCCTCACAATGAAACCAGAAATACCAACACACATAAAATAATATAAAACAGTGAAAAAATGTATCAAAAGCTCATTTGTATGAAAATGTCTTCAGCTGCTTTTTTTGACCATCTTATCAGTTTAAATCTGCTGTTGGTCTAATCAGAGGTTTAAAATATGCTGATGCAGGACACAAAGGTCACAAAGAAGCATCGTCCATCTGCAGTGCAGAGTGGCCTCCAAAAAGACTGAAGAATATTTAAAGTTAATGACTAACGAAGGCAAACATGAAATGCACCAGCACCAACAAACACAGAGTGCTCACAACCATTTATAAAACATCATCCAACTAGTAGACAAACAAACAAACAAACAAACAAACAAACAAACAAACAAACAAACAAACAAACAAACAAACAAACAAACACACACAGAGGCTCGTCTTCAGTGTTAGATACAAAATGGTAACAACCTGACAGGAGCGACATTTACCAGCTGATGCTGCTCAAAACCACTTTCATCACATCTGTGAGTGTTTTCATACATTAAGATCGATGTGATGTGTTTACAATGCAGTTAAACAAACAAACAAACAAAAACAACCCAAATAAACAGTCAAAAGTTTGAAAAAGAGCAGAAACATATCAACGTGAAGAATTCATGTCATGAAGAGATTCACACCATCATTAACAAGCTGGACGTCAGTCAGCTGCAGAAAGCTGAATAAAGACTAAAGAAAACTGAACCTGATGTCGGCCAATGCTACAAATCTCAATGCTATCACTGTGGTACCCATGCTTTATCCAAGATCATTTTATTCTATATTTGTGGATAGAAAGCAGTATGGTTAAGACAGCTCACTGCACGACAGCATTGACAGACTCGGGTTTAGCTGATGAAGCAGAAACACAGATGAAGCTCATGTTTCTATTTTTCTGACAGTATTTGAGATCTGTGTTATTCTAGTTGGAGCTTGTTTGACTTCACACAGAAGAGTGTATATATCCTCGCTCCTTCACCAGTTTCAGACTGACATATAAAATCTGTGACACATACGTTATTATTATTATTATTATTATTATTATTATTATTATTATGGTAAATAAAGAAAGGTAACACACTTGTCTAGCTAACTAAAAGACCTGCTGACATTTCCAGTTCACTGCTTGTGCCATGTCTGTTATTTAAATTGAACATTTGCTGGATTTGAATGAAATGTCTCATGACTCTGTGGTGAACCACACACAGAGGGACTAATCCAGTCCTGCCCACAAAAATGACAATTTTCTAAAAGAATAGAAAAAAACTTGCTTGTCAAAATGATCTCATTGTTTATTATGATCCTCTTTATGTGGAAACCACCACGTAATGAGTGGGTTCATTAGAATATAATATTTCCTATATTAGATATATTATCTTGTTTGCTGTATTAGATTTTGTCTGCACTCAGTGTCTGATGAGCAGCAGCAGAAATACCTGCAGCTAACAGAAGCTCACATTCAGCTTCTCCTCCTTTTCCCTCTCTTGTTGAAGCCTGTGCTGTGTTCATACTGACTGACACAAAACAAAGAAAGTCTGGTTTTCTCCGCCTCTTTGAAGTTTGAGAGAAGCTGACTACAGACAAAGAGACTTTCTCACCTAAGAAAGTGACGTTCAAATAAAACATAACAAACAAAGCTGGTTCTGGTTTGTGAGCCTCCAAGAGAATCAGAACTCAGTACAAACAAAAGTTTTGTTGGAGAGCTTCTGAAACCTTCATGTGAACTATTGATGTACCGGTTTATTTGTTCATATAAATATTCACATATATAACGACCTCCAATAACATGTATGGTGTCATACAGTGTATTTCAGAGACAGTGTGTGGATGTTGTACCAGTCTACTGTAATATTCTATGGTGCAGTAATCAGCAGTGAGGAAACAGGGAGCAGACTTACCATAGTGCCCACACTGTATGTGGCTGCAGGACCGATGGTGTGGTGATAGGGGTCTGCGGTTGCATAGACTCTGCCGTAACTACATAAAAGTAGGAAGAATCAGCTTTTATTAAAATGCAGTATAAATGTGCAGTTGCTTAAGCAACTGCTTCAAAACAAAGACTATAAACATATTTGAAAGATGGAAGGTGAAAAATGAAAGTTTGATAATAACAATATTAGCTGGGACTATCCCATCTCTCATGCCGCCACCACCTGGGACGTGCTTTGTTTGTTATTCTCCCTCATCTGTCAAAGTGTTGCTCTGATGCACCTGGTTTGTTAAAATGTGACAGGAAAAGTATCTGAGCTCAAAAACACAAGCCTCAGTGTAGAACGGCGTGCACGACAGTCATAGACTGAAGCACTGCATGTGTGCGCTGATTAAAGTACTCAAAGAAAAATGCTAGACAGATAAATACCCGTCTATTTACAACGGCAAGAATAAGGAATGGGTTGCAGCTTTCACTTAGCTGCATTAAGGCAGTGCTGAATCGACTCGCTGGGCCAGGTGAAACCTGGAGTTCTCACTGGTGTTATATTGTGTATGTATCTCGCTACCTTTGAAAAATAGAACAGGCTGATATGGAAAAAACAGGAGAATAAAACTCCACTCAGACTGAGCTCCTACTGGGAGAACAGAAAAAACACCCCAGCACAAAAAGCACATGACTATCAATACACAATAGAAACACAAGACAAGCAACAGGGGCGGGTAAAGGGTGAGAGAGAGCCGGTGTAGACGGCGCATCCGGTCCTGCAGCATGTCTGCGCTGGTCCAGTCGACCCGCCATCTGCCCCGGGAGGGGACAGGCATCGAAGGCATTTGGAAAGGGAGGGGGATGAGTGTGTATCAGTGTATGTGTCCATAGTTCAGCTGAGACAGTGTCCTTCACCCTGCCGGGCTAAGTAAACAGTCTTCCAGCCAACCCAGGTGGCCTTGCATAGGGGAGGAACAGTCTAAACACAGTCGTTATCAGGGAGTTGTTGTTCAGCTCCAGCCTTGAGACCGAAGTGGTGCCAAAGTGGTAGCTGCATGAAGTGATGGTGGTTTTTACTTTAGTGCGAACAACTCATGTGAATTTCAAAGCTGTTGTTCGACACTGGTCTCTCAATCTCCCGTTGGAGAACCGTGAGCTTCTCCATGATGTAATACAATTTACGCTCAGCGGTCTTATTCTGAGTGTTCACGGCAGCCTCAAGCTTCTCCAAGATCTTATCCGTGCTGCATTCAATGAGCCCATTTTGAGAACTCACGACTCGTCCCATCATTTCAATCCCAGCAGGCAGCCTTGTGGGGGTTTGAACAGCCGGTTCCGCTTTCTTTAATCTTCGACAAGCCAGGGCCAAGCCAGCTCCAATCAGCAAGAACCCTGTTACCATGGTTCCGAATAGGTAGATATCTTCAGCGTCCTCGATCGACAGTCCCACCCGGCTGGTAGCTGTAGCTCAGGTGGTAGAGCAGGTCATCTACTGATCGGAAGGTTGGTGGTTCGATTCCTGGCTTCCCCTAGTCTGCATGCCAAATATCCTTGGGCAAGATACTAACCCCAAATTGCTCTCCGATGCATCCATCAGAGTATGAATGTGTGTGAATGTTACTTAGAAAACACCTAGAAAGATGTGCTTGTGTGAATGGGTGAAGGCACAAGTTGTGTAAAGCGCCTTGAGTGCTCAGATGAGTAGAAAAGCACTATATAAGAACCATTTACCATTTACCACACGACCCTCCAGTTCGTCCACCCGTCCATCGTGTATCCGGCAGGGAAAGTACCTCCAGGACACTCAGGCTCACCCGAGCCCAGGCTTCTCGTTGAGAAGAGGGTGTCAATGGCATTCAGGGACCAGTTGATCAAATCCAAAATTTCTCTTTTAGGTTTTAGAGAACGACAGTGAGAAAGTGTTTCAAAGAGTAAAAAAAAAGACGAGACTAAACAAGGACACAGAAGCTAAGCGGGGAAGATAAGGGAAGGGAGAGGAGAAAAGTGCGACCGCCTTCGCCAAGAGCCAGAAGTTGAAGATCATAATTCTCTCTGTGAGGGAGAAGGTTTTAAGGATGGGGCTGAAGGAAGGTTTCTATCCACTGAGCTAACATGTTTGGTGAAAGGTTTTGATCCAGACTAAGGTGGCATCCACATATCTGTACCAGTGTGTGTTATCCTTTGGAAAAATCCAAGAGCTTTAGTTTCCATTTCCTCCATGTAAAGGTCGGCTGTAGAAACCATCGTTTTATTTAGAATATTGTGACTAATGGTTGATGATAAGTTTTGATTTGGATCTGCTTTCCACAGATATAATCATTGAATTTATGCAAAGACAACAGGAAGAAGCTCTTTCTTGATCCATGGATCTCAGTCTGTGTACAAGAGGAGCAGGCGATCGGAGCACCTGAAGGCACACAGCTCCAAGCCGGTACTGTGAGGCGTCACACGTAAGTGTGATGGGTTTCTGGACATCATAGTAGCTGAGAGTGGCTGGACTGGCTCTTTCCTAAAGCATTGAATGCATCTTGATGCTGCTTTAGCCAGCACCACTGAATGTCTTTGTGTGTTAGCTCATGAAATGGGGCTGAGAGGTCACTCTGGGAATGAACTTTCCTAAAAAGTTGATCATCCCCAAGAAGCACCAGAGGGCTGTGACATTTTCTGGTATGAAATTCTCATTAATTTCTTTGGTCTTAGCTGGATCAGGCTTGAGGCCCTTGCTTGTGAATACATGTCCAACATAACAGACTTCCTCAAGTTGGAATTTGGACTTTAGGGCGTTCAGTCTCAGTTGGACTTCCCTCGCATGCTCGAGTTCCTTTCTGAGATACTGTTCATGCTCTTTCATATCTCTTCCACCAATGATTATGTCGTTGACTCATTTCACTACAAAGAAGTACAGTGGGTATTCCTTGCCTGCAGAGTGGGTCAAAGTGGAGCTGTGTCAGCTGTTTGAATTTCCTCACCTCCATATGCCACCAGTATTGGTTTTTCACTGATATACACAGTGGGGAATACGTCATACCTATGCAGAAAACAGGGATTCACAGTGTCTATATTGACCCTATTCACAAAGAACATTTCCTCATCACTGCTGGGCACTTGCATCTCAACGCCACCTCCACAGTTGTTGCAGTTAGTTATTGCATGTGCAGGACTCTGTTCTGATCGTGTCGCACTTATTTTGTGATGAAACTATCCACCTTTGCTGTCGTTTGGGGCTGCTGGAGCTTTTGTATGTTGATCAGTCTGTTCGAATATTTAGCTCATTTCGATTGCTTTGCTTAAGTCACTGTCATGCAGTAGTTGCTTACTCATGCTGTCACTAGTTACGCTGCCATGAATATATCATATTCTTGCTCGTACACGCACCACTTCTTGGCAATGTTTCCATTAAACATCAACGGTTCTGGTCTACAGAATCCTTCCACATGGTCATTGATGTTTAATAGCCTTTGCTACGATAGCTGAACAACGCTAGCTGCTTGCTTGCTATGTCTTTAAAGGGCTGAGAAAACGTTTAGCTTACCGCTTCGTTGGCAGCTTTGTAGCACATGACCAAACCACAACTTCTGACATCATGTTTGATGTTTAGTAAAGACACTGGGTTTATGATTGCTTATAAGCTTTTACTGTGTATGACAGTGGCGACATTACGTGCAAGCAGCTCGACTCCAGGGCTGGAACCCGGTCCTGTGATAGACATTCCCACTGCATGCACAGTGCACTATTCGCCTTGGTATTAATAAGCACGGTATATGAGATTTCAGAAAGTCTTGAAAATTGTGAGCCAAAAGCCAGTCCAAGTCCAGACCTTGGACCATTTGGTGTTTGCTCTGGCAGGACCTTAAGAGATCTGTGCAATGTTGTAAAAGAGAGATAAAGGCAAACCATAGAAGAAGAAACATGGACTATGCTTAGTTTTTCACAGGGCTCCATAGAATTGTATGAAAATGTTCTTTTTCATATGAGCATACCAGATAAAGTTAGAAACAGGATAAGATGATGATTCAGAAGTGGAAGAGAAAATATCATACCTGTCACTGTAAGCAGCTGCAGCAGTACCAGCTGGCTGTGCATATCTGTAGGCTGCATATCCTCCCTGAAGAGAAACAGAACAATTTCAAACTCTCATTACAGATTAAAAGAGATTATCTTCAAAATTCAACATCAAATCCAGACTACTGTCTTGGCCAGTTGGTCATTATTAGAAGAAATGCTTAAAAATCAATCTTGCAACTACACAGAAATGAAATATAAATGCATATCATTGGGCTTTGACTTACATATATTTCTGCCCCATAAAATCCATCCTGGTAGACCACACTGTTGACACAGAATATCAAATATTTAACATTGAAATATACAGAACTGACAGGGTGACGGGTTTTCATACTGAAAAATGTCCTAACTAAATGACATCAAAGATGATCTGACAAAATCTGGTAAACTGATATTAAAGGTAATTAAATTTCCTGATATTCTCCTCAAGCAAACAATACTCGCAAGGACTTCATTAGGATGACCTTACAGGACACGGCCGTAC